ATATATATATATATATATATATATATATATATAGATGGCTTCTAGAGTTCACTGAAACAAATTATATCATTAAAACTGGACATTTTTACAGGGAAATGTCATTTCTGAAAAAGTTACTTCATATTTGAGAAATTTAAATGTTAATGTTTTTCATAATAAGGAAAAACATTTTCATTTATTGCTACTTTACATATGGGTGGATATACTTAATTTGTTATGGGAACATTTGCCATACTCTTTAATATATGGAAGCTTCCTAAATGACAAGCTCTTCAGTTTATAAAACTGGACAAAATGTTTGAACTTAAAAAAAAAAAGACTAAAACAATGCTGACAAAGAAAAATCAGAAGTTGAGAAATACCAGATTAGATCTTGCAGTGTAGTATATTTCTTCTGAACTGTCGAAAAAACCATCACTGTCGGGCTGTTTAGCAGAGAAACCCAAGAAACCCAGGTTATTTACACTTAGATTGAAAGCCACAAATTCACAAAGGGAAACTTTCACAGGTGAGGTTAAGTCCTGCTAACATAATTTTATTAAGGCAAATGCAAAGTCAAATTATATCAAGCGGCTTCTAAACAAGCAACATTGTAAGAACTTTGTAATGCAGTTACTAAATTAGTACAGACTCCAAATACATGTAATGGCAACTTATAAAGAAAAACAGCAAATGAACTCAAACTGCCTTAACAAAACATAATCAGCATTTATGAACATGATGACTACTTTTTCTTCTTAATCTTGTCCATCCCTCTACGTGAACATCAGACTTTTGTGTAAGAGGAAGATCATTTCAGACTTCTCCTTAACATTTTCTTCCTTCAGGCTGGTACTCTGAATTAGAGAAACTCATAAAATAAAAGCTAATACTAATGACTCCCTTTGTAGTCTTTAGTCAAGTAGGTTAAAATATACATTGAATTTAAGAAGAAAGTACCTACTTCAGTCTTTAATATTTACCAAATTTATTTATTAAACAGGAAAGAAAAGAAAAGAAAAACTGATGTAATTTGGAGTTCTTGCAAAATAGCTTCATTAGCATTAATTTGCTTGCTTTTTTGGGTCTTTTTATTCTTCCCAATGGAAATATTGAGTATTAACATCTCAAATATCTGCAAAGCACTTTGGTCTCTAAGATGGTATCAAAATATTATCATATATCTGGAAAGGAATATGTAAGACAACATCCAAGGAATCATGGGGATATTTATACAGTTGTCAAGTTTCATCCACTTAAACGGTAATTTTGATCTATGATATATGCCTTATCTTCCTAAGTTTTGTACTCTAAAACAGATTTGACTCTACTGTGGTATTTATAAAACCATGGCTCTTACCCTAATAAATATGTACACAAAAAGCCCCTTGAAAATTGGGAAAAAAAAGTGAAAAATTATTCAAGGTCCAGCATTAGAAAACATTTAATCAGCGAATGATAAAACTAGTAAGTTTCTCTTAAAATAATTTTGAAAATATTCCATCTTAGCAACACAGATTTATTTATTCATAATTTTGGAATTACTTTTCAGTTTGTTTCCCCAAATGCTTTTGAAAATATCAGTGACTAGTTTTTTTTTTTAACTCAGTACCAATTTATCACAAAGAAAAATTAAAAACATTTATTTTCAGTGTTAACATTGCAAGACAATGCTACTTACAAGTTCATGATGTGGTTCTGTCTCCTTCCTTAAGGGTGGGTCAAATTTCACTTGACCAACTAAAGAAGAATAAAAGTTAATCCAGGATGATTCTATAACCTTAATGACATAATAATTTTAAAGTTACTCCAAGGAAAAACACATTTAATCTTACCACCAACCATACACAATGTACACAATGGTCACAATTCAAAGATTTAAAACTTAATCTGTTAGTCCTAGGCATTTACTTTTTTTTTTTTTTTTAAATGGCACTAGGGATTAAACCCAAGGCCTGTTCTAGTGCACTGCACTACCAGTGGAGCCACACTCTTCCAGTGCATTTTTTATAGCAAAATGATATGCTACAGTCAGGATCTAACTTGTTTCTGTGTTGTGACCCAATATCACAGACAATTTAACTTGATATTTAGGTGTGTAGATAGCAGTTGGTGCTTATGGAAGACATCTTGCAAGATGACTTCAGTGACTCCTGTCTCCCGGAATTCATGAGGTATATAGTCCCCTTCCATGCCAGTTCAGGGCTGATGGGTTATGACCAAAGAACACACAAAAGTAATGGATGATCTTCTGAGATAAGTATTCTGTGGATCACTTGCTCTAGAGGAAGTCACTTTGTAAGCAGCCCTTAAGGAGAGACTGCATGGCAAGGAAGAGAAGCCTCTTGCCATCAGGCATGTGAATGAGCAGGAAGAAAACTTCCAGACCAGCCAAACCTTCCAGTGACTGCAGCTCCAAGTGACATCTTGACTGCAATGTCACAAGGGGCCCCAAGTCAGAACCACTCCATTATGCTGTCCTGGATTCTTGACTGTCAGGATTTATGTGACATAATACACACTGTTTTAAGCTACTAAATTTGCTACCCAACAGTAAATATGTAGGTAAAATATAAACTAGTCAGAGTAAAATTAACTGTACTACTGTCACCATTTCTTTTGGTATTCTAATGTATGGAATGCTTCACTACCTTGATCTTTGATTTCTCCATATCATTATCTATTGTTATAACCTAAGTTGTCAAGCATTTAAGACCACTGAGGTGAAATCAGAGTAATGTAATTATTAAAAAGAAGCTGTGTGTGGTCATATTTGCCTGCAATATCAGCACTTGAGAGGCTAAGGCAGGAGGATCACAAGTCCAAAGCCAATATATTATAGGTCAACTAGTAAGAGCTTCAGCCAAAACGAGCATTTTTGTGGTTTTTGTAAGAGAAAGAGTGAGGTCACAAAGTACAATTGCTTTTATAACATTTTTACTTTGAATATAAATTTCTTGTAAATGTTAGTATTAAGAAAAGGAAACCAATGAGATTTGAATACTTAGCAATAGGAGGGATAAATTTAAAAAGGTTGAGAGGCACAGACATACACTATCCCCACGTATGTGTTTACAAATGCATACTTTCTAGTTGTTTGGTTTTTGGAGTGGTGCTGGAGTTTGAGTTTTCTGGTTGTTAATGGCTCAGATATCAAATCATGCCCTGGGGAGATAAATAGGCTCTTCAAGAACAGGTCCTTCATAGCTGCTAGCATATGACCACACACCGAAGATTACAAACTAACTTTTAGTGAGGTTTGAAAACTAATATATACCTCCTCATTTTTATTAGTGTTTAGTAGCTGTACAGGAGGGATTCATTGTGACATTTATATATTACATATGTGTTTATAATGTATCTTAATTAAGAGTCACCCCTCCATCATTCTCCCTCATCCCTTCTGCTCCCCACCCCACTTCTTAGAACAATTTCAACAGATTTCATTGTTCTATTTGCATATATGTATACAAAGTACCATATTCATCTTCTCCACTTAACCTCCTCACTCCCACTTGGTACCTAGCCCCAGACAGGACCTGTTTTACCTTCTTAAGACTCTTTCATTTTTTAAAAAGTATATATACCTTATCTTGATGAAGCTCTATTGTATAGCTCTCACCTATACTAGTCTTCAAATTGCAAAACGCAATCTGTAGTAAAGTTACACAAGGACAGTTTTGTGCATCTACTTGCCTGTGAACATGCCTGTTTCTCCCACTAGACTATAATAATCCACGAGTTTGGGGATGCTGTCTTTTAAGAACCATACCTGTAGCAGGTGTTTAATGTCTCTCCACCTGTACTCTGTGGATGGAGAGTGTATTCCCAGAAAGTGGGTAAAAGTCCCTATGGAGACTCATTCTTCAGGCCTTACAGTATTATCACCTTTCATTTTCTCCAAATTCCCTAACATTATTATAATAAGCTTCTACAACAGAATCTTCCAGCTACCGTTTATACATCTGTTGATCATCTCACTCTGCAACACGGTTTATGTACTTAAAGTAAGGCCAAAAACTCCTATCTGTAATTGTCTATTGGTTCTCATTTGTTTTTTCTATCATCTCCTTGAATGAATGCCAAATTACTATGTCTAAAATTCTGTTTTAATATCAGGAGGAATCCTCTGTCTGAGTTTCTTTGAGACAGCTCCAATCAAAACTAATCCTACTATGGTAGACAAGAAGAGCCCCAGAGGGATTTCTTTAGTCAAGTCTTTGCTAACCACATTTTACTGAAGACAGATGGGCATCCTAAAGAAAAAGAGTGAATAGCCTTTTTTGCAAATGAGTAAGTTTTTACATGTGTTGCCTGAACATTTTCTACTTTAGTAAGGGAAAAAAATGGTAGGAGATACACCTAGTGTATTTTTTTTTGTTGTGTTTCCTTTTTTCCCAGTGTTGGGAATAGAACCCAGGCCTTGGGTATAGTAGGCAAGCACTCAATCACTGAGGTACCGCCTCAACCAAGTAGTTGTAAAAAAGCATTACCAAATGAAGAAATATATATACTGTAAGCCTGCTTACGACAAGAGCATTTCGTCTATATATAATGATCACATGTAGTAAGATACCCTAAAAAGTAGGTATTTGTTAAAACAATGAATAAGACTTGAAAGCCTCAAATACCAAATCCACAGATTATTAAAAGTGTTTTTTAATCCTGCGGTGACCTCAGTTTACCAGAAAGATACAACACCCATGTTAATGACAAACAGGGAGAAAGGACAATGTCCATTATCTGTCCCACAAGAAAGAAGCCATATGAAAATGTCGCAAAATTTATGATACAGGTATCTAGTTTCAAGTAGCATACATTTCCATATACACATAGAAGCTGAGAATCATGGATATAAACTTGTAAGGATTCAGAAAGGTAAATTCCTGGGCCAATCTAAGACCTACTAAATCAGGATCTGTGGATGAGTGAGATCTGAGAATCCATTTTTCAACCTCCCAGACAACGCAGACGCTAAGCCACTTTACAGACATCTTTTTCTCCTCGGTGGCAACATGTGACCCTTTGACCATCAGCATGTGTATAATCTGGAAGCTTTTTACAAGTAAAGAATCTCAGGGCTGGAGATATAGCACAGTGGCAGCACACTTGCCAGGCATGTACAAGTGTCTGGGTATATAGACACTTGCCCTAGCACTGTAGAGGTTGCAGGGACAAGCCTCAGACCTCATCCAGATCTACTCAATCAGAAAATGTATTCTAAAAAACTCTCAGTGAGATTCTTGTACATGTGTGTTTAAGACACACTGCTTTGGTTACTTCTATCCTCCACATTCCAGAGATCATTAAATTATGAACTGTGTAAAGCATATACTTACAGTTTATCTCTGAGCGTGTTTTCTCTTCTCTCACATTTCTACTTGTTGAGTGAATTCTATGTGGTACAACAACAAGGGGCTAGAAAAAAACCAAAATTAATAAAATGCAATTTGTGATAATCAACCCATAGTTTTAGCCACAAAATTATCCAAATATGAAAGAATATTTCATTTTACATAAATCAGAACAAAATAGCCCAACTTTCCATATTGTTTAAAGGCAATCACAAAAGCAGTTCAAGCTATGAAGGTAAGCATATAAGTTTTTTAAATTATGCACTCAAAATAAGTCGTATTTATATTGAGAACACTTTTTGGCTAAATACAATAACATGTTGTTTAATAATGTTCAACATGAGATTTGCCTAGATCAATTTTACAAGAATGAATTGATTGTACCAAGAACTTTAAATCCTCTCTGACACTGAGGAATTCTGAAAGCCAGGAGCAGTGGTGTGCACCTGTAGTCCCAGTGACTCAGGAGGCTGAGGCAGGAAAACTGCTTGAGCTCAGGAGTGTGAGGTCAGCCTGGGCAGTGTAATAAGACTCTGTCTCCCCACACCCAAGTAAAAAATCTGACAAGAATTTGTATCTATCATTTGATGACAATTGAGCTCAGATGCCTTTAAGGTTTATTCCTCAATTTATAAGATTTTTTGAAGTATGAAACATATACTCACTTTAATAGGGGATAATGGTTTGTGCTTCATTTTTTCCCCATAATTTGAACCTAACTGATTTAAGTTAGATTACTGAAAACTGTGTAACTTATAATTACATTTGTGGGAACTTAGCTTTTGGTTTTTTAGAAGCTTTTTTCATTAAAAACATGCTTTCTTTTCATCTCAGTTTCTCTGGGTTTTAGGTATAAGGTTATAATTTCTATGAACAAAAAAATGAGTCAGTATTCAATCCTTTTTCTTTAATTTGTAAAGGAGTTTCACACCTTGGAATTATTTATAGAACTTAAATGTTTGATGGCCAGCACAGTGGCCCAAGTGGTAGAGCACCTGCCTAGCAAGCATGAGGCTTTGAGTTTCAAACCCCAGTACTGCCAAAAAAAAAAAAGAACATAACTAGTTAAAAAGTACTAGAAAACTTATATTCTGGATGTCCTTAATATGAGATACTAAGGCCTCCATTATCAGACAAAATAATGAATTAAAAAATAGGGTTTAAGGAAGCTCTTTGAGGATGGAACCTATACCATGTTAGAAACAAAACAGATACTTATTTCAAGAAGTTAAATGATAAGAAAAAAGACTATCAACGTATTCAGAGGCATATTTCATCATTTAGAACAGAGGTGAATTAAAGATGGAATTCTCCATTCACATGTATTGATGCAGGTGGTTGTATGAGAAAGGTTATTTCATGTTTGGTAGCAAGGGATGTCACAAGATTCTGTTAAATGAGGTCAGTAAAATGAAAGACACACTGAAGTGAAAGAGTGTACAGTAGGCACAACCTACCGTAATGCTAAAGAATGTGCTTTTCAATCATGGAAGATTTCACTTAACTTCTCTATAATATTTCATTTACTAGAACTTCAAATAAGCAGAATCATTTCTGAAATTGCTCATCTGATCTCAAAAAGGTGGACCTCTAGAAGGACATTCTTTAATATCATTTAATTTGAAAAAGGCCATATAATAGAGACATTGTCAAAATTAAAATTTAAGCTTTAACATCTAAATATGAACATTCTCATTATTCACAATAAATGTAATGAATATTAGTCATGGAAATCTGCTATGATGAGTTTCTAATTATACTAATAAATGACATTTAGAAAAGTGATGATGAATTAATAATCATTCTAATAAATGGTATTTAAAGAAAAACTACTCATAATGGTTTCTGACAATTTTTAAAATAATGCTTTTCATGAATTATGACTGAAATTATAACTTCCCTTATAAAAATTTAATGCTTATTCAAATTTATTAGTGTTATCATCAGATAATACAAATTACAAATAATATGTCTTTTGGGGAAGGAATATAAGAAAGTAGTAAAGGGGGTGAATTTGATCAAAGTAGATTATATGCATGTACATAAATATCACAATGAAAGCTCTTTGTACAATTAATATACACTAATAAAAAAACACTTAAAGCAAAATCCCCAAAACCCAAATAGTACAACCTTGGTAATGGGAACTAGGTGAGAATGCAAAGTTTATATCAATGAAGGAAAAGACACAGACAATATGATAAACTAGTTAACATAGCCAGTGGTTTCTGACTAGGAGAATTCTGCACTCAAAGAGACATATAGAAGTGTTGGGACATATTTGGTAGTCACATGTCGGGAATCAAAAGGTGCTATTGTCAACTAATGGGAAGAGGTCAGAGATGCTGTAAAACATCCTACAATGTACAAGACAGTTGCTCACAACAAAGGATTGTCTGGCTCAAAATATCAATAATGTTCAAGTTGAGAAATCCTGATATAGGGCGAAAAAGCATTCAGTCTCTCCTTCCATGTTAAACTATGTCTCATGGTCAATTTCCAGTGCAGTCTGCTTTTGTAAACAAACTTTTATTGGAATATTGCCAAGCACTTTCATGTATTAGCCATGATTGTTTTCACTGTACAATAGTAGTTTCTAACTGTGACAGAGACCATGTGCCTCACAAAATCAAATATATTTCTGTTGGCATTTAGGATAAAAGTTTGCCAAGTTGGGCTGGAGGCAAGGCTCAAGTGGTACAGTGTCTGCCTAGCTAAGTGTGAAGCCCTGAGTTCTAATCCCAGCAACACACACACACACACACACACACACACACACACATACAGCTTGCAGCCCCATGTTCTCGGTTAATGATCTAAGACAAATGAGTTCTAACACTTCTTTAGCTTCAGCAGATTTATTCTCAGATCCTCATTTTCAAAGCACATATAATTTTTATCACAATCAGAAGAAATTCCCCACAACTTTCTCCCTAAAGAAATTTTGAAAATATGAAAAGCAAAACCTTTAAAAATAGTTCCTTCACTCCATATATTTTGAATTTTTTTAGACTAGTAACTGCTAATGATAGTAAAGATCTAAGTAAAATATAATCTTGTCAAACTTCCTTTAATAGTCCTAATCAATATTCTAGATATTTTATAAGGTATCATATTGTAAGCCACTATTTAAAATAAAAGTAATCCATTTTTCTAATGCTCAGTGCCTAAGAACCTACTCAAATGGACTAACAGTAAGCACTCATATACCTGATGCTCTCTTAATCGTGTGTAAGCTTATCTTGATTACAGTCATTTTACATGCATCTTACTTAAGGATAAACATTTAAACAATGAATCCAAACATTTAGACATGGAAGCTGGCTATCATTTGTTAAATGTCTTGACAAGTTTTTAAAAGTTCCAAATACTTTAATTATCATTTTGATTTCTTTAACTTTGGTCCTTTCCTGTTCCTTCCTATTGTCACAATCATTTTGAACAGCTGTCTCTGACTTCCCAACAAAAACTGGCTGTTCTTTCTTCTCAGTCCTCAAATTGTGAGCTTCTCAAAATTAGGGAATATATTCTGCCCACAGCAGGTACCTAATAAATGTTCACTGAGTTGAATATAAATAAATATTAAAACCTGAATAACTCAATAACACAGCTTTTCAAAAGCTGTAGCTTGCTTTCTCTGTTGCAGAGAAAAATGGAATTTTAAAGAATCCACTTCAATTTCTTATATTAAAAGGGTAAGAGATAAATGTTATGAAATAATGCTAAAGACATTAATGATATACAGTCTCTTTTCTTAGATAAACACAAACATTTTTTGGCCTTTATGTTTTTTCTTAGAGGAGCAGCTCTCTATATCCTTCCTTTTTGCTTTATAAAATCATTCTAAATGGTTGCCACCTTCAGAAAGATTCCCAGAAGGGAATGGACAGGTAGAAACAAGTTCATCTATGTACTGTTAATTCATGAAGATTCCCCCAACTTTAGGAAGAAGCCCTATTTGAAACTCCAGGTACCATGGAAATTAGTTACATAGTGAACATGGATGATTATGAGAACAGTCTTACTTTCCCAGCTTAAGTGACATAAGTATAAATTATTACTATTATATATATGTAAAAAATATATATATATATACGTAAACTTTTTTGCAGTACTGGGGTTTGAGCTCAGGGCCTTGTACTCTCTAGATAAGCACTCTACTACTTGAGCCATGCCCCCCAGCCCAAATCATTAAAATTTACAATGCTGTACATAGTAAATTGGTTAACATTTGGAGAAGAAAATTATATTAAGTAAAATTCATAACTACAACTACTCTATGTGTAGTTACTTCTAAAAAAGTCAAACTTTCTTCCACAGGTAGAATTTCTAATTTTGAACTAGACTTAGAAGATATGCTAAATATTTTTAAGGGTATCAGTACAACAGGTACAGTATCACTGAAATACATTCACATTTTGGGGTAACAGCATTGTACTTAGCAATTATAGTTACAAATTGTTTACAAAAAAAAAAGATTATGGGCCATGCTTGGTGATGCACATCTTAGCACTGGAGGAGCTGAGGCAGGATTGCAAATTAAAGGTCAGTCTGAACTATACAGCCAGACTCCGTCTCCAATCAATCAATCAATCAATCAATCCTAAACTATGGTAAGAAGAAAAGTAAAACACATTCCTCAGTCCTACACCTGGAATAAATAATTACCATTTTCATTACTTTTATCATTTATCATAAAGGTTTGAACAATATGTAATCTTAACATAATCATGGTTAAAAAAAAAAGATGAATTCCTTTCCTTGCTACAAAAAAAAGCTTAAGAAGAATCATCTTTCCATAGAGTGCTTCTGTATTTGGCTTTTTATTTCTCCTCTTTGAATGAATTTTAAAGAGGGCATTGTAATTCAGTATGACAAATAAATAGGACAAGAAAAGAGACAATAATGAAGAATTTATGCCTAAATTCCAGTCACCATGATTTAGTTAAATGACAAAAGTTCCCTACATCGTGGTTCCAATTTAGATGCCATGGCATAGCAATTATAACTGCATAAGGTGCAAACTTCACTGTTAGCTTTCCAGTCCACAAATCATCGGGTAAGCAACAGATGCATGGCATGCTTGTGATTAGCAGGAAAATGTGGAAAGGAATATGACAATTGGCCAAGACATAGAAAACAGACTAGCTCTGTCACAAAGTTACTCATGAAGATGGCAAGTACTGTGCAACAGTAAACAGACCAGCAGACAGGTGAACAATCTACACACATTCTTAATGAAATGAAGCATGTTAATTCTCAGTAGTGTGCTGTAAACACTATCAACCTTACTAGTTTTTACACTTCCTTATATATTTATAATTATCAGTAACAGAGTTTTTAATGTTTTGGCAAATTTTTTAAAATGTTATAGAAAAATCATAATTTCCCCACTGCTTATTAAGATTGCTTTGCTGGGTTTCAGCTTACATGGTCTTTTTTTTGGAGGCAGGGTTTCAAAATGCACAGGATGACCTTGAATTCAAGATGCTCCTGCTTCAACCTCCTGAGTGCTGGGATTATAAGTATATACTATGCTTTGCTGATATGGTCTTTTTATAGTCCTGGTCTACTGTACAAAGCAAGGACTGCCTATATGCTGAATACTAGAAGAATTAAAAAATATAGGCTTGTGAAAAATAAAATTAAGTGAAATAACAAAAACCAAATTTCTCCCTAGTATAAGGTCAACAACACATTCTTAAGATTTTATGTTTCCAAACTCTTTTCAGACCTTACAGACAGTCTATTTATCAGAGTTGCATAAAGATGGCAGGCTGGAAGAATGCTGAATTGACAGAAAGATCCTCCCTGACTGAAGAGACAATCTGACCATCTTCCTAGCCACTGAGAGGTTTCATTCCTTCAGTATCATCTCTGAAGTTTAATCCACTTTAAGTGCGTCTCATAAAGGCAGTCGAGTCCAAGGCAATCTGCTGCTTTAACAACCCCAGTAACAGAATTCTGCTGTACCACATGTACTGAGTTCACCTGAGGTGCTGCAACTATCAGCTGTGGTAGGAATGTTAAATACGCTGACAGAAGTGAAGCTCAAAAAAGATGTGAAGCCTCCATTAGTGCTAATGCCTCTGTCATAACAGGGTTATTTTATTCTAACAAATACACTGGCTCCTTTACTTCCATAGTGGGTTTTAGTCACCAACAAAGTCAATCACACCCTTACTAGCCACCAACACAAAGCTTGGTAGGAGAGTAAAACCAAATAGAAATTCTGAGTATATTCTGACATCTTGTTTTGCTGCTTTTCATTTGCTTTCTCTTTTATGTGGATAATTTATTTCACAACTTCATCTAAAATTCTGAAATGACTATGGTAACTGCAACAAATGAATAAAATGATTTTCCCTATGCCATTTCATACAACAGTGATCCATAAGAAGCCAAAAAGAAAAATTTAGCATATGACTTCCCAAGGCAAAGAATTAGTTATTCCTCAAAGAGTTTTTAAAAAATTTAAATAAGACTTCAAAATTTGATTCTCATTCTGTCTCATACACTCACACAACACACACACAGTTGGTATAAACCAACTATGGTATGTATAGTTGATATACACCCTCTCCTCTATATACCAGTGGGTAAAAACAGTTCTTACCTCAGGATCGTCATCATCAAAGTCATGGTAAGTGGAATGATCTGGATTATTCACTTTATCCAGCAGCTCTATTGCCAAGGATCGTGTCAAAGGCTGTGTAACAAAAGGGTGCTATAAAAATAAATAAAATGCTTATTGGAAATTTGATCAAGCAACAGTTTATCTCTGGAAAACATATGTCTTTCAGTGCAAAAATAATACCTGTAGCAACTTCTCAGCAGTAGGTCTTTTTTTTGGATTTTTGGTAAGTGCCATTTTCACAAAATGATGGAAACTATTTGACCTAAGAAAAATTGAAAATTAGGCTTTTATGTTTCCTTTTTTCACTCACTTTAACTATTAACATTAATTAACACAAAAATACTTACCACTTCATTTTATCTTTTAATTTAGGAGGCTGAAAATTACTTTTTGTCATTAGAAATAACGCTCTGAAAAAAATGAGTAAAACATTATAGAGCATTTTAATATTTCATACATTAATAATAATATGAACAGATCGGTATTCCCAAGTAAGGTAAAGCAAGACTAAGAAAATTATTTGCTCCTGACATACTAAATAATGCTAAGAGGATAAAAAGAATTCTCCAACTGGGACACACTGACCTCATTGGGTGCAGGTCAAACATAGGAGGCTGAAGCTCAGCCAGTTCTATGGCGGTGATTCCCACGGCCCAGAGGTCACAGAGCTGATTGTACCCCCCTTTTCTCTCAACAGCTGCAACTTCTGGAGCCATCCTGAGGAAATATGCCAGAAAAAAAACCCTTCTGTTTAGTGTACGCTCCTTCATACTCCCACCAGAGGCACACGGAGCGATCACTATCTAAATTAAGGCCTATTTAGGCCTTGATTTCTGAAAAGTAAATCTGCATTACTTAAAAGGTTCATTTTCCTACTCTACATCTTCCCTGCCCTCCCTCTCAAGCCTCCACGAGTGACTTCTTTCTTACTTTGCTATAGTACTTACTAACAATGTTTATAAAAACCAACAATTTATAAGAGAGCAACATGCCCAAAATTTGCTCACATTCCAATCTCTCTTGTACATAAATGTAAAAATAATACAAAGAAAAGCATTTTTCAGTAAATAGGCTATAATTTTTTTCAGTCTACACCTCTTATATCAATAAACTATAATCTGGTCACTGTTTTACTTCACCAAAACTATTCTTTGGGGCACCAATAATTTTCCTATTTAGTATTTATATTTACTACAAACTTTTGGTATTTTTTTCAGTTTTATTACAATGATGATAAAATTACAGAATGTCTAGTGCTTAAGAATGTTTTATTCAGAGGAAAGTTACTCAAGTTCAGTATTTTTTTAAATTCCTTTTAATATTGCTATAGTTTTATTCTATTATACCTTGACTGGTTTGAATGATTACTTTTCAAATATATAGACACATTTTCAAATCCTAAACAATAGTTTTAGAAACAACTAATGAGATAAGCATTTCAACTCTTCCAGTTCAAAAAACTGATTAAAAAAGGTGGCCTTAAAAATACTCATTTGTCTTCTTAGTATGATTTCAGGAAAGTTAGGTCATGTTAAAAATGAAATAAAATAAAAGCTTTTTAACTTTGAAAACATTTGGCCTTAAGATCTCTTTATAGCTTAAAGAAACTCTTATGAATATTCAAATTACAGTAAGAAAAGGGAACTTTAAAATCCATTGTTATTACTTTACTGATGGTTAGATTCCAGCTAGCTGGTGGAAATGTCCTAATAGAGGCAAAGTGCACACAGGCTGCAAGCTCTGAATGCACCTGCTCTTCTAAATGTGCTGTATCAGCTGATGTTCTCCTTTCCTGTGTAAAACCCAGGGATGCTCCAACCAGTGACTTCCACTTCTGCCAGGTACACTGTGTCATTGCACTCACAGTCACTGGGCTCAGCTCTGAACCTATTCACTTCAGGTATATTTGCTATTGTAAATACATAGTCTAATTAAATGTTATCAAAAGTGATTTATTATGAAGATAAAAAGAGTAAATTGCAATAACAGCTAAAGTGAAAGTGTTAGAAAAATTTGTTAAAGGGAGTTTCTAAAGAAAAACCAAAAAGCCCTAGCAAATTAGGTAAGAACACGGTAATTGCAAAATACTGTAAAGGCTACAGACTATATGATCTGTATGACATTTGAGGGAAAGGCTAAATTATAGAAACAAAAATTATGTAGGCATTATCAGAAGGATGGGGAGAGAATTTACTAAAAAAGGGACAAAAGGAAATGTTTTAGGATGATAGAAATCTGCTTTATCAAGACTTCTACATTTACAGAATAGTACCTCATAAGTTTGTCCCTCATTTATGCCTCATAAAACCTGACTAATAAAAAGGTAAATGTTTGGAACATTATGGGTATGGCTGACATAATAAAGATGGAACTCTACTAAGTGATCCACTCAAAGGAAAAGCCTTGGTTCTATGTTAATGACTGCCAAATAAATGTACTTTTAATGTCTCAACTGAAATGAAATGTTTACTCTGTGTGTGTGTATTATACATATAATTTTCAGATTTGCCACTTCAGCATACTTTTTTCACTAATTGCCAAGCTAATCACTTTTATTCTGTTATCCTCAGGGGTCTCTTCTTGCTTTTTTGCATTACTAGGGATTGAACTAAGGGACTTGCACTTGCTAGGCCAGTGTTCTCCCATTTGTACCCTTTCTTCCTAATCACTTTTGAAGAGAAGATTCGGCAGCCTTAGACTTAGGTAGGAAAGCCATAGTATAGTACTACAAAGAGATAGAAAGTGTGAGTGTTCTGTTAATTAACTTTACTTAACTCACAATGTCCCATGTTCCCAAGATACTTCCCACACTACTGTAAGAGAGATGACAGTTTTTAATCTCTGGAGCTAGAGGTGGAGATCAGTCCTCATCAACAAACAGTTATTGAGTATGTGTTACACAATCAGGCTAAACTCTAGAGGTTCACTCGTAGAGTTCCTCCAGAGGTTTACAATCAAATTGGGTAGACAGAATACTTAAAGTCAGTAACACAGCTCTTCAAGCCTTTACTCCTCTGGGGAATCAAAATGAAACAATACAGAGCAGAACAAAGAGAAATATAAAAACATAACATTTTTGAAAACCTAGGAGACATTTTACTTAGAACCTAACACATGAAGACTGAAAGGATAATAGCAAATGATACAGCAAGCAAAAGGAAAGGTAAACCTAAAGTGCAGAGGAAAAGAACAAGTAGCAAGCCAATTAGCCTCAAAGAATCTCTAAAATATGGACAAGTTAGGAATACAAGTTGGGCTAAGGTTGGCTGAAAACAGAAACGGTGTTTGAAAGTGTCAATGATTAGCTTCCAGATTTATACTCTCATGCAGCAGTTACTCCTTTCCCATTCCCATCAGATAAGCCTCAAGACAAATAGAAAGGGGTTTAGACTCAAGGATACCCGGAAGAAAGGAGAACAGAGGGTGGAGAAAGAAGACATGATTGAGTAGAAGTATGTGTACAGAACAATGAGCTCATCAACTTCCTCCATCTGCCCACTTCTGGAACTCTAACCTTCATACTTACACTCTACCTTTTAGTTTGTGTTTTGAGACAGGGTCTTACTAAATTGCCCCAGGCTGGCCTTGAACTCCTTGGGCTCAAGTGATCCTCTTGCCTCAGCTTTTTAAGCAGCTGGGACTACAGGCACATTTCATTAAACTTGGCTGTTGAGTCAGCCTGTAGTGAACCAAAATGTAAGGATTACCAAACCTCTGAGGGAAGCCACCATCATGAAAGTATTACACTAAAAAAATCAAGAAACTCTTTGTAGAAAGTAAAACAAAAAAGACTTTCAAAGTGAGAGCAAGCAAAAAAAATTAATGGATTAATTCAAGTGGCTGAAGATATAACGAGTTCCAGAAAAACAGTATAGCAAAGAAAGAATCAAAAAAACAGTAATATTTTCCAGGAGTAAAAGATTACAATCTCTGGATTAAAAGGCACACATGCCAAGTATAAATGAATAAACATAAAAACAAGGAAAAAACCAAAAACATATCTGAGGTATATTATTCAGGCATGATTCTGGAAGAGAGATTACACTCAAAAAGAGTATGCACCACATGGTATCACCCTTCCCATTAGCACCACAGGAAAAAAGCCAACACTACAAAATACCTTAAAAATTCCAACCAAGAATTCTACACCCACCCAAATTTTCCATGAAGTGTGAAGCTATAAATGCAAATTCTCAAAAACCGTACTCCCCATGTATTCTTTATCAGAAAGATACTAAAATGTGTTTCACAGAAAATAAAAAAGGGTGGGGGAGTGACTTATGAAAGAGGAAGACTTAGAAACAAAGAAAAGAATTCCCAGGGGAGGGGGGATGAAAGAGAGCAGTGGATAGGGTGAATTCAAGTATGATATATCTGGTACACTGTAAGAACCTTATATTCCAAACACAAAAATCAGTAATACAGTAATACTCCATCACTCCAGTCAGTGCTTAGCATCACACCTACCACAGAGGAAGTGGTCAAGGATGACTGAATACATGAATGGACAGGATAGTTTTTGTAAGGTGGTTAAAGACTACCTGGAAAGCATATATTGCCAAAAAAAAAAAAAGAAGGTCTGGAAGAGACTACTAAAATCAAGGCTAATAAAGTGGACAGAGACCTGACCTTGGAACAGAAGACTCAAAAATGCCGAGAAATCTGCATCTGTTCTTGTAGTCAATAGTAACTACAAAAAAACTGCCAAAGAAGTTTCAAGCAAAGAGAAACTGTGAATGAAGTAATGTTGAAAGATTAAATGGAGGCGGAGGAAGACACATATAAAAACATCTGTAAAAATACACATGATAAAGATGGCAGCTAGAAGGAGGAAGCAGAAAGTGTGCCTCCTAAAGTAAAATCTTGGAGAGACGCTGAAGATACACCTTACAGGAAAAACCATCGAGAAGAGGCAGACCTTTGACTCCTCCACATCTCCTACGTATAGTATCTCCACTTCACATTAAACAGAGAAACCAGGAGGGCTCCCGCGCTGTCACCAAACAGGAGCACCTGGACAGCTTGGGAAGACACCAACCACAAGCAGCACTTGGCACTCCCACAGACAATCCTGGGCCAGATCAGCATAGCCCCCTGGACACACCGAACCCCCACCCAGGGAAAAAAAGGAAAAAAAAAAAACTAAATAATCAGAAATAACAACAAAAAAGACATGTAGCAAAGAATGCGGGGTGCCCTGAGTGCTGAAGCGGGTGGAGGGGGAATCCCTCAAAACAAGCCGGCTGGAGAAGACAGGAGCAGCAGCACACACCCAGCAACCAGGAGCGGGAAAGCTTGTGAAAGTGGCAGTGGGAGGAAAACTCCACAGGAGAGGGGGGAAGACCACCTCCCAAGTGAACTGTAAATAAACACGCAGGGCTGAGAATGCAGGTGCAGTGTCACCTCCTGCAGTGTGCTTGGAAAGGGGAAAGCTTGTAGCAGCGGCTCACACACAGGAGAACTCTGAGTAAACAAAGCCTGCTGGGCCAGGTGAGTGCTAAGCTCACCCCTGAGATCTGCATAAATAAGCCTCCAGCAACAGCAGGCTGACACCAGCGGGCAGGTGAGCCACAGTCTCAGATAGCCATTCACAGACCTGTCTCCAGACTCTTTTTTTTTTTTTTTCCTCGCTTCCTACCTTTGATGAGACAACGGAACTACACCTGCATGCTGAAAAACTTACTGAAACTGTACTGCATTTGAACTTGGGACACTTT